CACTACTACGATAAATATCTAACTCACTGGCTAGTCATCCAGCTGAGATTTTTCTTTTCCGATTCAAATGAGTGGTCACTTTTTGAATCGGAAAAGAAAAATCTCAGCTGGATGACTAGCCAGTGAGTTAGATATTTATCGTAGTAGTGTTTGTCGAACACTAAAAGATCATCTCCATCTTCGACCTTATAAGAAAGTGATCGAACCATTGCTAACCGATGAACACAAAGAGAAAAGAAAAACATTTTCGAATTGGGTACGAACACGTTTTCGGAAGGAGGATACGATGAATATTCTGTTCTCAGATGAGAAATTTTTCTACATTTGTGGAATCTATAACTCACAAAATGACCGAATATGGGCTGTGAGCCGATCTGAAGCTGATAAAAAAGGCGTTATATAGCGGAAACGGAAATTTCCTCAGAAGGTGATGGTTTGGTTGGTGGTATGCTCCAAAGGAGTGTCACCATTGATCATTTTTGATGAAGGAACGGTCGATCATGATCGGTACATTCGGGAGATACTTCCGATAGCTCTCAAATATGGAAGCAAGACTCTTGGAAGTGACTGGACGTTCCAACAAGACGGTTCAAAACCACACGTTCATCATTTAACACAACAATGGTGCCGAGATAACTTTCCATCCTTCATCGACAAGGATCACTGGCTCCCAAATAGTCCAGATGTAAATCCGCTAGACTACACCATATGCGATGAGCTTGCTCACGCGATCAATTGGGACAAAGTCAAGTCGAAAATTACTTTAATCGATCAACTGAAACAAGCTGTAAAGAAAATTCGCCAACAAGTTGTTTTTGAAAGTGGTTTCGTTCGAACTAAAAGATTGTATTGCTTATCTGAAAATGATGGTTACTACTTAAGATAATGAAATGATCTGGTTTTGTAGAGCGTCAAATGACAATTGTTTCTGAAAAAAATTGAGTCTTAAAGCTTATAAATGAAAGAGATATCGTTAAAATACGAAAGGTATCATTCTTTATGGTCCACCCGTTATATTATTAACCTTGTATTGTATTCGTGAGAACATTTAAATACGAATATGAGTTTGTTTCGTATTGTTTTTTAGACAAAAAATAAAGCATTGTTCGAGCAAATCTAACTGAGCTTCGAATTGACTTAAATTAGTCTTCTGCTCGATTATTCTGACGTCGTTTTGTACTTTTTTATTGACGAAAAAAATTGTTTAAAAAAGAATACCACTCGAGCTTTTTGTCTGTTTGAATATGTAGATCCATTGTACGTGATGCGTAGTTTCTATTTAAAAAAAAAGTACCTCAATAAGAAAAACAACGGATGCTGCCACTACTGTATTCATCGACAGTTATATATTCACCCAATTATCCTGAATCAGATTGTGTGATACAGATAAGACTATACTGTTTGTAGTTTTAATATTTCGCTTATTTCTTGAACTCGACCGACCTTATCGTTATATTAAAAGGTTCCTCGTTCAGTTCTTTACAAAAAATGTATTGCTTGTTTTATTCTAGAATTCCAACTTTAAAAATGACATAAGCCATTGTGACCAGTCGCAAAATGCAGGAAAAATAAACATGCATAAGTTAAAGTGCATTTTAAAGTTTCTTTTGCTAAAATTTTCCTACAGATAGAGATGAATTAAGGTAGCCATTGCGTAGATCCTGAAAATCTCTGTATCGCCTATAATTTTTAAAACTTTCAGCGAGAATTGATAACATACGAACTATTTCATTTTGTTATCAATTTTTCAAAATATGATGGTTTCTTAATCAATACTTGAAAACCTTACGATGAAAACAAAATGAAGTCTGAGGGTGTGGGTGTGGGTGTGGGTGTGGATGTAGCAATAAAATTAAAAAGCGCGAGTAATAAATTCGACAGCGCATTGAAGCGTCTTCCGCGTAGCAAAAAAATAATTTGGCAAAAAATACTTCATTACTGTGGACAAAAATTCTAATGTTAATTCATCTTCACACTGATGTTATTACTCTTAATCATTGTGACCTATCCTCTATTATATTGTCGATGATCTTTCTCAATGGCTAAAACCCAACGTTTGAAGAAATTAAATTACTATTTTTAAACTTTTATTTTTTCTTGTAATTCTGAGCAATTAATTTTGTTTTTTTTATATACGCTTGATTCGTGAAAGGAACTAACATACACTATTGAAATACCGACAATTAGTGAAAAAAATAAAGATTAAAAGAAGGCTGGTTTGAAACGAATTTAGACATATGGATGACATCACTAGGGTAGTTCCTGATCACAGGTGAATGCGAATATAATAGAGAAGGAAATTGATTCGAACGGATTTTATTTGTATCGATTATCCAAACAACAGGGAAGATAGGAGGGCGAAGGCAAATTGAATCTATTCAATTGAAAACCGTTGTACACGATTATTTTCGTTGTCGATGACATAGAGATTTCCTTGACGATCAAAGGACAAACCGACGGGACAATTGAGTTGATTTGCTGCTGATCCGTGACCATTTCCTCCTACAATAACAGTGACTTGTGTGTCTTGAAGCCGACGTAGTACACGATGATTGTGCGAGTCTGCAATGTAAAGAATACCCAAGTTATCGACAAAGACTCCTGCAGGATCCGATAGTTGGTGCAAAGCATTCTCATTCTCCTGAACTCCAACGACGACAATACCTTCCGTTGCGCCTTTAGGCCATTTCATGACACGATTATTCGAAGAGTCCGAAATGTAGAGAGTCTGTTGCCGATCGACAAATACATAGGTAGGAAATGCGAGTTGGTTGAGGCTAGTACCAAAGCCGTTTCCACCAGCAACAAAAACTCCCTTTTCGTCATTTATTTGATATCGTCGAACCGCATGATTTTCAGCGTCAGATACATAGAGATTTCTCTGATCATCCATAGCCAATCCTCGGCAATCAACATTGTTGATTAGAATTTCTCCTGTTTTAGTACCACGACGACGAGACCATCGTACTATTCGTCGGTTGCCTGCATCGCAGATAATTAGACTGTAGGTCTGTTTGTCAATCAGCACATCAGTTGGATGTTTCAACTGGCTCAATCGATTTCCTTCCCCGTTTCCACCAGCAACAACTTGTATATTCGTGTCGCCGATCTTCCATTGAACAATACGATGATTAGAACAATCAGCAATGACCACTGTTTGATTGCTATCACTGAATAGACCATGAGGGTCTTTGAGTTGATCGATGCCACTACCATCTTCATTATATCCAGCAACAGTGATACCATTCTGTGACCAACGCGCATCTAAGGGAATATTCAGGAACACTAAACGTAGATTGACATAACAAATCAAGATAAAATATGTTTTAATTGGGTTGGAAATGTATCCCTATTGGTGAACTCAATTTCTGAAAAATTCATCAAGACGGTTGACCAAGAACCAGAAACTCATAATAGTAGTACATAGCTATTGGTGCGAAGTTCTTGATATAGAAATATGCAGAAACTTGTGCAATATTTGCATGGATTCGCTTCGTTTTTTTTGACTATATTTTTCTTGTTTTAGTTGTATTTTCTGTTAAGATGTTTGATCAGAAAAAATATGACAATATTATTAAATCATGTCATTACAAAAAATATTATGATGGATACTCAGACATGATGAAATCTGTTATTATTATTAGAATGCGTAAATAAACAGTTTCCAAACTAACTAGTCTCAGTATGATATTTATATTTGACCTAAGAGTTTATGGTTTGCGAATTACAGCATCTACTAATATTTATATTTTTTAAGAAGATCAATTGGAAATAATGGTGATCTGAGTCAATCTAGGAAAAAAATCAAACGAAGTTTAGAAACGATAGAGCATAACCACGGACTAAAGTAAACAAAAAATGACGGATGAAGAACTTCCTGACTAGTCCGAAATGTCTGTGAGATTCGTCATATTAATAGGAGATGTGTTGAATATCCGTCCAGACTGGTCTAGAATGTCTGTGATACATTTCATGTCTAGTCTATATGTCCATGAACTCCTTTATGGCTAGTTTGAAGGACAAAAATACGGAAAATAGGATAAAACATAGGAGAAGTCGATATTGACGCTTTCAGCATACGGCACCATGACAGGAGACGTGTCGATGCGTTGCCATCTATGAAAAAAATTCTGCTACTGAAATATTCTCAACCACTAAATTCCATTAACCACTCTGAAAAACACCAAAGTACTTATCAATAGCAAGTACATCAACCAAGAAAACCATAGTAGATCTATGTTGGGACTAAATTGAAGGTTCGACTCTGCAGTACTTTCCTTGATTTATAAGTTTTTCAATGCATTTTAATCACGAATTAAAGGGTGTGGGTGTGTGGGTGTGGGTGTGGGTGTGGGTGTGGGTGTGGGTGTGGGTGTGGGTGTGGGTGTGGGTGTGTGTGGGTGTGGGTGTGGGTGTGGGTGTGGGTGTGGGTGGTTGTGGGTGTGGGTGTGGGTGCGGGGTGTGAGTGTG